TTTCTCCAAATTCAGTCTGCTTTTTTCAGTGCTGATTTCTGAGTACCTCACATTATTCTCTCATTCCCCCATACTGTTCTAAAAGCCCCAATCTGGTAAGTCAGCAAGAGTTCATTCTCTTTGTCCACACCACTTTTTGAAACAGCTTGCTCTTGTCTTTTTTGTTTTTGTGTTAGTGGTGCTGAAATGGACATTTTTAAGTGAGTCACTGCATTCTTAGTGGAAAACAACAATGTCAAATTCAAAACTGTCAAAACTGGCTTGTTAAAATAAGTTAAATACAGCTACAGTACTAACCACGTATTCATATTTAAAAAGTAACATATTGATGTATTGTTTACTGTAAAAAAAACTAGTAACGTAATTTTTTATATTATTGAAATTAAACAACCATTAAAATTTGGTGGACAGCAACATCAACAATCTTTAGCTCATGCAGTCTGTTTTAGCTAGGTTAGCATCCTAGAATTGATGGTTAACACCTATGTTTAACACATACATTCAATATGTCAGCTACTAGTTATGCAACACACCTCTGCTTTTCTCATATAGAATTGGGTTATTTGAATGGATTTTTAGTCATTGTTTAATTTTTGTTATCCTCAGCTATTAGTAGACAAAATAATGAGTAACTGCTACGAGCTAGCCTGCTTTTTACCTTAGGCTTGTTGTCTTTTAGCTAGCTGGCCCATAACATTTGTTTACTAATTAGCTTATAAAATACAGTTTAGTGCAGAACAACTCATTATGTTGTTTACCAGTTGATTACTCGCATGAATAGGAGAAAAAAAAATGTATTGCAAGTTTTCTGTAATTTTATGTTTAAATATGCTAATCAGGCTATATCTAATTAATATGTGCTAATTTGCATATATATTTTGAAGTGACGAATCTGACCATTGAAAAAAGCAAGGTTCAAAAATGTATTTGCATTTTGTTGATATTTTCAATGAAAAGACATTACCAGAGGGAATTATGAATATCTCCTTTTGTTACCCTGTAAATCAGGAAATACTGCCAATAGCCTTAAATTGATTTCCGCCCTATTTTTAGGCATAAAATGTCATATAAATCTGGCCAAGAATGATCTATCAACAAATCCCTCCGGACAAACCTTCACAATATAGTTAGGAATAAGACTAATGATGTTCTAAAGTTTGGTGTTTGTAGGTGCTACAGAAGTGGAAAATCGTCACTAGGAGTGTGAGAAACTCATTTTGAGAAAACGGCCTTTAAAGATTTGTATGGCAAAATTCCACTAATTTCTATTGAAAGCCATGAATTACAGACAAAATATGCTTTTGGTCCAAGTAAATTCCATGTATCACACTGTATAACATCCAAAACTCATTATTGCTTCATCCATCACTAATCATAACATCCAAAACAACACATCCACAGTCCATCACACAGGTGAATATGTATCTGCCTGAGGGACTCACAACCACTTTAGGATCCCACAACTACAGATTTGTTTACTATTATACAGTAATTATATTATACAAAAACTGAAATGTGTTGTGTAATGTAATTATTTTGTATAGTGTGTAAAGTATAGTATAATGTGATGTATGTATATAATGTCAGAGCGCGTCACGTGACGACTCTGAACGAATCACGTTGTCAGAAATTGCCATTAGCCAATGAGATTGCATATTTCGAGTTAAATCGCCGATTTTACATCATGATTGGTTGCTGATAAACAGGAAATTACCATATTTGGATCCGACAGCATTGCAGAGGAGAGGGAGAAAGCTTTCTAGCGGTATATGTGATGACAGGGTGCAGACGGCGTAATTTAGAACGCCAACTTTTGATGAATTTAGGCGAAATCTATACACGCAAACAGACTAAGTGTAGTAAAATAAAGACCTAAATGTGTATTTTGGACTTTTTTTCAGCACAAGTCTGAAAGAAGACATGTTATTGAAGTGAAATAGCCCAAAATCTCAAAATTGACCAGTGAAAAAAAAACAATGTTTTTGCCTGCCGTGTCTTTCCTTAATGACAGAAGTTTCATTTTTTGGGTGAACTATCACTTTAACTCAGCCGTGTAAAGATGTCTTTAAAATGCCATTTCATAAGTAGGCTACTTCTCTGCCACCTTTGCAGTGTAAATTTGACAACAGACACGTTAAGGCTGTTCTGTTTCTGCTCAAAATTCAGTGTAAAGATGTAATGCCGCATAAAAGCCAGTAAATTGTCCTTGCTCTGATCCAACTCATCTCCTAATATCAAAGTATAGAGTTGCGATCGCTGTGTAAATGCCTTTATTCCACCTCTGAGCAGCATTACACAGTCTGTGTGAAGACACTTAAATGCCACTTCAGAAGCACTTATGTGTCACCTTTGCAGTGTAAATTTGACAACTGACTGAGTTTCTGCTCAAAATTCAGACTTAGAAATAAGCAAACTCTACTACATATCTGATCTCTGGTTAAATACATAAAAAGTGACACTCATGTATTTGTGCTATGGTGCATATACTCTCAGATCCTCTCTCTTTCTGTCTCGTAACTGTTCCACAGAAGTATTCCCCTGAAATCACTCATGAACGCAGAGAGTGTGCCATGCAGAATGAATCTGACATTAAATGAGGGTTGCTAAAGGTGCACCAGCGCTACACTGCTGTTATCCACTATATGAGCTGAGAGCAAAACAATGAATAAGAGACATTACCGACTAATTTGGTAAATTAGCTTTAAATGAGAGCACAGCGCTGAAATGCGAAATTGCCGCTTGCGAGGCGAGAGGCATGTTTGTCTTACGTGCAAGCTGGTTATAATTCCCAGGATCTTTAATTGCATAATCATTTGAGATATCCCAACCCATGTACTCATTTGTTTTGCCGCAGCTTGATTACGTTTTTCACTTGTGTGCATCTCTGTGCATCGCTGTAATTAAAATAACTGAAAAATCCTTTTAGATGTCACTAACATGATCATGGGAAGGAGATCAAATCAATCAAGATTCAGTGCAATTGTATTGAGGAAGCTACTTTACAACTAGCTCGTCAGCCTGGCATAAATTAAAGTTGTTAAAGTACTGTAAAGGTAGTCTTGAAAAAAAATAGTTAGCTGTAAGCTAGCAATACAAAACTACACTATTTAAGAAATCTGTTAAATAAATGAATACATTTCACCTTGGTTAATTGTTTCTTTTTGGAATGAAATGAGCTGCTCTCACTCTACAGAAAAATGTATTTTACTTAAGAGCATAACTACTTAGCTAGCAGAGTGCTGACGCTGTTCTTGGAGATCTCATTTTGACATTTTTCTGATTTTTCTCATTTGAAGGCTAGTCGCTGTCAGCTTTATTAGCAGGTGGCCTTGGTTAACCCAAAAGGTCAGGGTATAGCTCCACTGAAAAGCAAATGAAGAGACTTTACCGTTAATTAGACCAACCGAAGTGTTTGGCACCTGGCTCTGTTATTCCTCTCACGCTGTAGAAAAACTGAGAAATGATATATGAGAATATATTTAAACAGCGATCCTATAATGACTGAATGACACTGTTGAGTCTTGGCTGTGGAGATAATTAAATCCAAACTAGATGTTAAGTTGAGTAGTTTTTAGTTGAAAAGAAGCCTTCATAATGAACTGCCGTGTTTGGTCGGCCTTTCTGCTGAGAGGCTCGTAGGAACAGCTGTTCATTCTCACCGTCATTAAAATCTTAATTTCAAAACTAAGTGAAACTATCAGGAGATGCGTACTTAAAGTAACACAAAGCCTATCAAGATCATTCTAAAAAGTGTTGTGAAGCTATGAGTCAGATTGTAAAGCAATCTCAGCTCTCGCCTTGGGCAGTACAGCGACTTCAGTCGTATTAGATGCTCATCAGATTCTCTAAAGAGCCGGAGCTGATTGATGGGGCTCATAAATAGAATTGGGTGTTGGGGTTTATTTGTTATCCTTGTCCCGCTCCAGGTGTCTTTTTGCTTATATGTTATGAGAAAGGTGACATTTCAGAGCTAGAAAACATAGTGGCTCGTTGCACACATGATCTGTCCCAAAATCTAGTAAGCTGCCTATGAAGGCAGCATTATATGCATGCTCCCATTTTGGCTCATTTCCGATGCAACTTTGCTTATATCTTTCACAGTGAAGACAATATAAGAATGCATTGCATCAAGCTCAGTGCAGTGTTATTTTAGTATTATTTATATACTATTATAGTATTTATTAATATTTTATTTTTCTATTTTCAGTATTCATTTTAATTTTATTAATTGTATGTGCTTTTGTCATTTGACCTATTTGCACATTTGTGCAATTATAATATAGAGATCTTAGCAAAACATGGCCATGAGAGGCCAAAAACTTATTGAGCCTTGAATTAAATCTGGACTGAATACTGACTATTAGCTGAAAATGTGAAAAAACATGACATTTGAAATGTTGTGCTATCTTTTTTATCCAAAGTACTCACAAACAAATAAAGAGATCAGACACATTGCCCTCAAGAGGCTGTGTGTGTGGGGGTTAGTGCTGGTTTGGACTTGAACCGGTGAACTGGTTTGGACTTGGTTCATGGTCAGGTCATACCAGGAGCAGCTCTGTATTTATTCTCTTTTCACTTTAAATAATGATGCATCTGTGTTACCTTTGGACCAGCCTGATTTATAAAACTAGAAGTCGACTTTTGAACCTCCATTTAAGTGTCTGCAGTGCTGTTTATTGTTTTATTGGAATGTTATGTGTCATAGGAAGTGACATTCACACCGGTAATGTGGCATCTGAGAAAACTAGATGATGTTCTCCCTAGAAATCACATGTAGTCATGTTATGCAAGATCCAACTCATTTTTGAAGTCAGTTTAATGTAATTTAAGTTGAAATTACTTTAACATCCAAGTGGATTGTGCTATAAAAAATGTAAGGCAGCAACTTATTTTTAAAATATATTTGAATGGCTGATGTTGACACCTAGTGAACAAATTTACTGGGAAAAGTAAAAAATCAAGCCGATATCAACCACACTTTGTCTCCATTTGTTTTTCAGAGGTCTATCAGCTTAGCCTTCCCGAAGACCAAAAGCTGAGCGTTACCACGGTAACGGTGGGTCAGAGCGCTGTTCTCACGTGTGCCATCACTGGAGACCAGCTGCCGCCAATCATCTGGAGACGCAACAACCATGCCCTCAACATGCTGGAGCTGAAGGACATTAACGTGAGTGACATGCGCCTTTACCCTAATTTTGTCTCCGTCACACTCTGCTTTTACTCGTCAAGCGTGTGTGTGTGTGTGCGCGAGCCATCTGGAAAGTGTTGCAATCATCTACCTTTTTAAAGCTGATGAAAAGTGAGCGGCAGCATTTTCAAGCCAATAAATTGCTTGACACACAAGTGCAAACGTACATTCAACAGCGAGCTTGTTTTTAAAATGATACGACGTGGTGTGAGATCATTCCATGTTCAATCTAATCTACTTTGTCTTTCTCAATGTGCTTTCTGCTCAGTTTAGCTTTTAACGTAATGGAGTTTGGAGTGAAACATTCAACAAAGCCAGGCCAGGTGGGATTTCACAAAAGAAACCTACAAATAACACTAAAAGAGCTGAAATTAAAGTCTCCAAAGTCTCTTAAGTTTTCAGATGTTCCACAGTTGTGCCACGCTCCAGCTATAATATATATTTATTACAGCAACCTTAACCAACCCAAGATGATGAAATATGGCCCCATGATACCAAATTGAGATATGAGTGATGTTTTAAATGTTCGCACTGTAACGCAACATAACTCAACGCGGCTACAACTCAATAGAAAGCACATTAGTGTAAATGAGAATTGAGAGAGAAAATACTCAAGAGAAACTAAATGGGTTTGGTAGTTTGTTATGATGCTTGATTGATTAAGCCAATATGAAAGGAAGTCATTTAAGAAAAAAATAGTTAACAAAAGAATTTAACAGATGTACTTAAATAAATGAAAGCAGTATAGAGAATATGTTATGTCTCTCGTGGGATATGCTACAGGCTAGAAACTCAGTTTGTCTAATATAAATGAGTACAAATTCATTCAACGCTGTGTTATATATTTATGAATAAATATATGTGCAGTCTGCCCGAGAAAAGGTTGTTGTTTTTTTTCTCGTTTTTTTTGGTTGTATTCCCTACAAACTACAGTTTATCCTACAATATATTATTTTATTTCATTTTTTTATGTAAAAATACACAAACATTTATTATTTTAGTGCCACATTATGTAGAAGAAAGCTTTTCATGCTTCTGTATGTTACACTGTATTTTTATTTCTATTACTGTGTATATATTTGACCAGCCAAAAGCCCGTTCACTGGGGTATTTATTCAATTGAGTCAACACTAGCCTCTGTGTCATCCTCGATTCATTAAACGTTTATGAGGTCTTTAAATGAGTAAGGAGTCCGTGGCTGCCAAGATCCATCTCTAGAACCTTCGCCCTGCAGTCCCTTCCACAATATCAGCCAGACGGGACATACACACTCACACAAGATGGTAGCATCTACATGAATAATCTACAGACTCAGAGGAAAGCTTGTTTAAATGTCAGCAGCTCTACAGACAATCCTTTAGGACAGCAAAGCTGGCTGACCTACACCAGAACATTCACACACCGTTGGGGTATCCTGCCTTCCCAGAGCAATTATTGTCATCATGTCTGTCACAACCGTCCCACATGAAGCCATGTTGTATGAACATTTTATTATATTTTTTATATTTTCTTTGCATTTCTTTCTATCCAAGTATAGTTGGGGCTATATTGTTAAGTTCAGTGAATTTAATTGTTATTGTTATAAATGTTTCGTTTGATTTTAATCATTATGCATTTCTTTTTTTCTTGTGTCTACTTTTTAGTCTGCCTTCAGAGAACCTCATCTTTTTTTAGAGTTGTTTTGTTTTTGTTTTGTTTCAATTTGTTTCGTTTAGTTTAGGTCTTCTGTCAGATAGAACCCCATTATCCAAATATAGTTGGGGTTATATTGTTAAGTTCAGTGAATTATATTTGTATAAATATTTTATTTTATGCATGTCTTTCTTTCTTGTGTCTACTTTTTAGTCTGCCATCAGATAGAACCTCATTAATGCAAGTATAGTTAGAGGTAATATCGTTAAGAGCTGTGAATCTCTTCTTCATGGAAGGAAGCATCTAGTGCACGTTAATGTGATAAAATGAGGGCGCTTGCTGAGCGTTGCATCATGGGACGCTACTGAGACCACCACATGGCCATTATAAAGCGGCTCCCTGAATACATAAAACAAAGGAAGAGGATTTAAAGACTCAAGTAGTAACTGTGGGTAAAACTTTACTAAGGATTAGCAAGAAGAACCGTTTGAACTAGCATATGGTCTCACACTGTTGAATACTGTATAATGGCCTATAAAGGTGAATGATCAAATTAAAAAAGACTGCCTAAAGTAGATGTCTAATCATTAAAAAGTGACAGCTGTTTCCTATGCAAAAGAAATCTGATAACCAGGAGTTAACTGTCTTTGCATGTTGAATTTCTCTTTTGCATCAAAAATTATTCTTGAAACTGAAATGTTGTTTCAATTGATTTCCTTTCTGCAGATCCCCTCTCAGGTAGGTTCATGTGTTTGGGTTTGCATGCCTGTAAGCTGCTAGAGTCTGAAAACCCTAAAGCTAATCAGTTCTAACACCACAATTAACCCTTGGTGACTCACAAATCTGAAGACTGGGTTATGGTGCCTGCACTATTGAGCTGGTTCAGAGTCAAGGGAAATGAAGGAGCTGATGGTTTGCACTCTTCAATGCCTCTTCAAGACATCCTATTTCTCTGTTCATTTACCATGAGCTTTATGATGCCATATGCTAGACTTATATTTTGCAGTGGTTTGCTCTATGTCATATCCCTTATAGTATACTGTACATCAGTGTTGGGGAAATGCTTTAGCTTTCCAATCTTCAAGCTTTAGAAAAATTAGTTACACTACAAGTTACTATCATTCTTGTATTAAACTGATAGATGTAAACCTAAATACAGTTAAAGTATACATATAGAATCAATCAGGGAATCAAATAAATCATCTGAATGAATTCCCATAAATGAATCACACTTCTCAACAGAACTTAAGAGAGAGAGTATGGGTTTGATTAATGCCTCGGTTTGTTAGGTTTTAAAGCTGCATGCACAATATAATGTCGCATAAAACCAGCAATGTACCATCATGCTACCCTGGCACTCATTGGTAAAAGTAGCTCATTAAGTAGAAAACTGAGCTAAGTTAACAGCATCAGTGCTGTTAGTTAAATTCTCCACAATACTGGTGTACACATTCATTGTGGTTTTGTGTTCATAAATGTGAGTGTCCGTATATTCAATCTTACTGCATGATTCTGGCTTTATCTGGATTCTGCAGCCTAATCAAATCAAAATTTACATATTTAATCAGAACCATCTGAATCGTCCTTGAAGGAACACTTTCATGTTCCTGAGCATCAGGATGACAGGAAAGGCCAGTTGACCTTGTAAAAACAGTGGCGTTTGAATTTATTAGCTTCATGGGGTTTTGTTTGGACGTTGATGCCGTTTCTCTTCAGCCTTTGTTGTCTCTGATGCTGCTTGTTGCTGTACGCACTGATTCTTCTTCTTTTCTATTCACATCATTAGACTTTCAAATGACTTGGTACGATCTGATTTCGTTTCATATTCAGAGGCTCCTCTGTTTTGCCTCTTTATAAAGCACTTTTTACTGTACTGCGGTTTTCACTCATTAAGAGCACGTTGTGACGAAAAGCTGTTGTTTACTTGTTGATTTGGACAATCAAGGTCGTGGGCTGTAGTGAGCAGTTTTGCATCCTTATTAGTGCATATTAACACACAGCTAAACTGCCGTTCTTCGTTGATTGTTCTATTACAGGTATGTCCAAAGGCCAGTTACGGCCCGCAGCTTGTCTGTTAAAATATATTACTGTATATGTGGCCTGTTACTGTGGTAACACTAACTGAAATCAAGAGATTGTGGCAGAAATGTGGGATATTCATATAAAAATGTATTATATTATTAGACATGTCAGGAGGAATGATATAGTCATTTCAACGGGAGCGGACTTTTCACGAGAGATGATATTACTGCACCGAGTCGAAGTGCTCCCAAGCACTTGCTATGGTATTCTGCCATACAATATAGTTATCCATTTTACACGCTTAGAAAAGCGCAACGTTTTATTATGTGTCACCGTCCTAGGTCGAGTTACACTACTCGTGTAACTGTATTTAAAAAGGGAAAACGTGGAGGTGTTTGGTCGCTTCTCTTCTTGGCACGTATTGAATGAACAGGGCTGAGATAAGATCTAATAAAGTTTCGCCGCAAGACAGCGATGTAGTGCACGCACTGAGACGAGAGAGGTATGCATAAACTCGTCTTAGTTAAGGGAATAACATAGTTTATTTCATATGAAAAACCAGTAGAGTATCCCTTTAATGCTATTATCTGACTTGATAATTTGAATTATCTTCATTTCAATTTAATCTGTTTATCTACTCATTTTTTTGTGGAGTTTAGATGCATGTTCAGGTCTATACCTTCTGCATAAATACTCATAAATAAATAAATAAATAATTCTTTCTTTGTATTTTTTTTTAACTCTTTTGTCATTTTTAAAGAGATAGTTCACCCAAACATAAAAATTCTATTATTTACTCACTCGCATGAAATTTAAAACCTGTATGTACTTTCTTTCATCTTGCAGAATGCAAAGATACTTTTTAAAAAAAAAAAATATATATATATATATATATATATATATATATGTATGTATCCATGCAATGAAAGTCGATGGTGTCAGATGTAATTTTGAAAAAATCATCTTTTGTGTTCAGCAAAAGAAAAAAAAAGTCATACACGAAATTAGAAGAAAGGGAGGTTGAGTAAATTATGACAAAATTCAGATTTTTTGGATGAACTGTTCCTTTAAGTTTGTTGTTTTTCTCAGAAGCAGTGTGTTGAGAATAAATGGTGTGTGTAGCGCTTTAATGACGGCCTGCAGCAGAGCTGATGCAAATGTCCGCTGCAATCTGCTCCTATTGATTACCTTGTTTTTTAACTGTGCCCATTCTCCTTTTCTTTCTCTCTCTCTCTCAGTCCCTCTGTATTTTCTTTTCACTATATCACAGAACAGTTTCACTGCAAGCTGCTCTCTTTTCTCTCTGCAATCCAGTATCTGGATGCTTGATTGCACTCCCACTTTTTTATTTGCAGATATATGCATTCAAACTAACGTTGGTGATAGTGGTTGACTCTGGCATTTCCAGTTCTGGGCTGTTGTTTCCACTTGTGTGTCATAATCTCTCTCTCTTTAAGGTCATGTTGATGTAATTTTGTGTATTTTTAACAGGATTTCGGAGATGATGGATCACTGTACATTACCAAGGTGACCACTACACATATGGGCAACTACACCTGCCATGCAGACGGCTACGAGCAGCTATTCCAAACACACATCCTGCAGGTTAATGGTATGTAATATACAAGCATATTCACTTGTGTAATGAGCAGTCAGAATCAAGTATTCGAGAGAGCATGAATTTAATCCAAAATTTTATATGCACTGTGTACTGTACAGTAGCTTGTGCAATGTATATGTTCATAGCAAACACTAATAGTGAGTACTTGACAACAAGCATTATCATCTCACATGTTATACTGTAGGTGGCACATTATATACCAAATGTTACATGCTTTAATAATCACTAAATAAGTGAAAAGTAATAGCTGAAATATGTTGATCCACAAGTATGTAAAATTAATAGCTGAAATATGTTGATAAAGTTCACACCAAGGACGATAACTATGGTGATAATAAAAATATAGTTCTAAAAATTGTTCTAAATATAAAAGAATAGCAGAGTCCACACCACACCTATAAAGGCACACAGAAACGGTGTAGTAAGAATCACTTTCGGAACGATTTTTTTCAGCTGATGAACAATTAAAACAATGACAGCCAATCAAAACGTTATCGTCCGCTGTTGTTGAAGCTAATATAGTTGTTGTTATAGTTATCTTTACATTAATCATTCTTAGTATGTACAGGCCTTTATATCTGTATTTTCAATAAAAAAATTCTTAGCAATGAATAGTATATAAAATGAAATGCATTTTAAAAAATACCTATACACTTATTCTATATTTATAAAACAATACTTATACAATTAATAATAATAATAATGAATCATAATTTGTAATTGTATTACACTTCAGCTATTACATTTTACTTATAGTAATTATTACAGCATTAATTATTGTATTTTTACTTATGTTAATTAGAGTTTGTAATGCAGATTTATGCATAAAAAAATCATATAATAAATTATTATTATTAAATAATATAGTTGTTAACAGAGTATTCAGTTTATGGTCCATAACACAGAGAGATTAAAAAGAAGTGGACAATTAAAAATGGCATGCTTTTTTATGATGGGGGAAAAAAGTGTCTTTTTGCATCTTTCTTGTAGCCTGGGAAAACCCAGACAACTTCCGGCAAATTTAGATTTGCTCTGAAAGTTAGTCTGGCAAAGAGCTCATTCAAGCCCATTTCCAATCCGTCAAAATCGAGGCACCAATCAGAAACGTTGGGGCGGGCTTTACACGATGACGACAGCGCTGGGATTTTGAAGCAGATTTTGCAGCTTACATTACAAAGATGGATGCCGCCGTCGAACATCACTCGTTCGAATCAGCTATCGCGTCTGTTTTAAGCGATTTGAACGTTTCCTTTTTGTTAAAAACCGAGCAAAGAACAACACTCGGAGATGTTTCTCCGCCGCTCTGCATAAGCCATCTCCTTCATCGCTCTGATAGGTTTTAGGTCTATCCGCGACGTGCGTTGGTGACGCCCCTCTGGAAATGATTTGTCTATAACGCTTTGCCAGACCATAACTCAGTTACAACTGAGAATGGTCTGGTTTTAACCAGGCTATCTTTCTTGTTCTCTGCGGCTGAAATTGTACGTTTTTCACCATTCCTTGATCTCCTGCTACCTTTTTCCTTGTTGTTTCTCATTGACACATGAAACACATGGCAATCAAATGGCCCTAAATGATAACATCACAATGCAATTGAATGAAAAACAATTGAATTTGCCTCCGGAGCCGTTGCCTAGCAATTAATCGTGGTCAGAGCTGGGAGAAAATGAGAAATTAATTAAGGGATGTGACACATATTCCCTTTTTGTGTTTTGAGCCACAAGGGCACTAGTGCTCCCCTTTACCTAATTATGCTTCCTGATGACCAAGAGCAATGGAATTTTGCCTGATCTTTTTTTCTTTCTTTTTTTTTTTACAGTCTACAGTCAGTTTGCTAATGCTTTTACTATTATTGCATCTGTGTAGATTAATTTAAGCTAAATGATTTACATTTCTCTCAAACAATTTTTAATTAATTTCCTGCACGGCACACGTAAATGACGGCTAACCTTTTGGCTTTAAATTGTTGTCCTTAGCGCCTTTTTCATTTAGAATAATGACAATATAATGTTGTTGCTTTATTTTTAAGACAGGGTTTTGCTTGATGGTTAACCAAGGTTAAAAAATCAGGCAAAAAAAAAAAGAGAAACATTAATAACCATCTCTGTGATGTAGTATGTATACATTGTGTGTGTGGGTGTCATTATTTGTTTAAGAGCAGTGTTAGCTGTGAAAATGAAAGGGGTCGGACAGGTTCACAGAGACCCGCTGAGTCTCCGAGATGGTGAAATGGAGAGGAAACTCTAATCGAGGACACTGAAAGCTCATCAGCACCGACGCACACACAAAAGCACTAGAAAAACACACAATTCTCTGTTCCCCATGTAATGGACACGTCCGTCCGCACACCAAGAGAGACAAAGACAAACATAAACTAATAAATCTGACTCTCAATTTCACGGAGGAACAAATACACACAGAGAATTTATCCGGTCCAGTGATGGTGGACTTACACACTACCGAGCCAAAACACTTGCTTATTCTCACAGAAAATCAACACTGAGGAAAACAAAGAAAGGGAGTGAGATTGGAGGAGACGAGGGGCCATGAGACTTTTGTGATAGAGCTGTCAGCTTTGATGTGTTTCACACAGGGGACAATCTCAAGTCGATCCCCAGGTAATAAAATACACACAAAGACAGATAAAGGTACACACACACACACACATACACACACACTCAGAAAGAAAAGTCATTTCGTAGGGATTTTATATCATTTCTAGGTTAAGCTTAGTAAAGAATAAGAACGAGAGAGTGCTGGTTGTGTTCTAGTTCATTTAACCAAAATTCTGTCACTTGGTGTTTCTAATGTAAATCTCTAGCTATAAAAATAAATATATTTTTTAAAAAGGATAAATAAAGGGATAATTCACCCAAAAAGGAATTGTGTCATTATTTTCTTACTGTCATGTTTTTGCTTTTATGCGGTTGTTTTTTCCCCCCAAAATGAGGGTTTTTGAAGATTATCCTTGGTATTTTTCTCCATATAATTAAAGTATTAAATATACAAGCATATTCACACTTACTTAATGACCAATTTGAATCAAGTATTTAAGAGCATTTAAATGACATTCAAGAATGACTTGAATTCAAGGAAGCATCTGCTTTATCCTGTTTTTTTTTTTGTTTTTGTTTTTTGTTTTTTAATTAGTGTTTTTGAAATTTGTCCTTGCAATTTATATTTACATTATATTTTTTCCACATATTAAAAGTGAAAGGAAACCAGATCTGTCAAGCTGTAAAAATGACGCTGACACACATCCATATAACTTTTTAAGTACATTACAGAGTTTTGATGGAATGTATTTGAAGAATAATGTCTTTAGGAAATAATAAAATTTCGGTTTGTTCCTCACACAAATCTATTTTAATGGCTTCATAACACTTTTCAGAACACAAAGCAGCATTTTTCTTGTAATATTAATATTGAAATAGGGTAAAATGTTGATTTTTAACTTGCTTTCTCAAACTCAGTATTACACTGAGATTATACGTTTTCCTACATTTCCTTCATGCTTCATGGCTTTGTTTTCACACGGTTTACTGTTTATCAAAATCTGCTCATTAGCAATGAGCTGATCTTGGAACACCACAAGGACCTGAGCTCGCGATTTTTACACTAAATGATTTCTGCTTTTCAATCGTGAGTTGAAGCCCACAGTCCCAGGGAGCTTAATGCTCTGATTTCACTCCCTGTGTCTTGAAGCTAAGCATTTCATTAAATCAACCCCCTTGTGTGCTACAAAATTGGTCACCCTGCCGGGACTGTCCAAACATTTCCTCTCATTTCTCCCATTTCCTCACTTATAGAGTTCTAAATAAAGTAAATGGTAAATAAGCAAAATGATATATATGTACTTTCTTGTAGAATGAAAAAACCTCTTATTTCACCATGCTGACCATTTAGGGCTGTGTTTCCCAAAAGCATCGAATACACAAGCAGATAATAAAAACATTGCCACCAATGGTCTCTACGATCAACTTGGCTCACAATGCTTTGGGGAAACACAGCCCAGGATGTTGACTGTTTGTTCATTCATTATCTTTGCTTACACTCTGTCCTTCCCTCTGTTTTTTTCATAGTGCCCCCTGTTATCCGGGTGTATCCAGAGAGCCAGGCGCGCGAGCCGGGGGTCACAGCCAGTCTGCGGTGCTACGCTGAAGGCATCCCCGACCCACAACTCTCATGGTTAAAGAACGGCATGGACATCACCACAAAACTCTCCAAACAACTCACACTTCAGGGTACAAACAAATAACCATTGGACATTTCTGATTCTTTTTATGATTTATGATTGTAATGCTGCAAATGGCACAGAAATGACACTTCACATTTAAGGATACAAGCATTTAAGCATGCCCTCTCTATAGGACAATTATGGGTGTCAATCTTAAAGAATTACGCCATTTTCATTCTGGTTCCTTTCATTTAAAGAATCTTTTAGTGCCATTAAGGAGTAATATTTGTGGGGAAAATGCAATTCCACTGCCAAATGATGAGATAAAAATCTCTCAAGTCATTAGCCACTTTTTCACCATCGAGCCAAACCATTCTCATTGCTTAACCATTCCAATTCGTGCCGATCTGGCCCAGCCTGAACGGATATGGTTCCATGTTCCACTCTGGGGCTGATAACAAACCTCTTTGGAATGTAATACAAATGTGTCAAGACTTTACAGACGGTATGAGATGTTAATAGCGACCGCATTGTGGAAGATGATCTGGTATTCTTTTATTTTTACTATTAACTTGTGTTTACTTTGCTCAAATTCTGCACATTGCTGTTGAGAAACTGTTAGCCAGGCAACAGACAAGCGACCAATCCTGAGTGGCGAGGTCACTACACGCATTCTACCGGGCCGAAACACAGAATTCCTGGCCGAGAACGGGTTGTAATCGTGCCGTGCTGAACCAAGCTCAAATGGACATATAACTGGACCTGTTCCTTACCATTCTTAGCAGTGTTCGGCATGATGGTTAAAGGGGCGGCTATCTATTCCAGAAGAATGCATGTGTGAGAACCATTAACAGAAAAATGTTTTAATCAATGCAACCAGTTCGGGAATTCAGGGAATTCCCAACCCTAATGGCAGTAGAGTCCTCTGTTCTCAACAAAAGCCTTTACACTAGCTGATTTCACCTTGGAAAAAAAAAGTGCCTGTATTCTTTACACAAGCAGACATTGATCTTGTCGTTCTGAAGGAGCTTTATATAGCCGTGATGCCTGCTGGTTCCACTGTAGCAGTGATTGACGTGTTTGTCATAATCTAGATCTTTACTCAATCCCACAAATCCCCCCTGTGGGGCCTCTCATCAACAAACGTTTGTCAAGTCAGCTAAAGCTAACATGACAACTTGAGACAACTTTCAGCCGTTATTAAACACATTTTCATGATCCCATTAGAGGAACTTGCATAAATGGAGCCGTTTCTTTCACAAGGGATTTAGAGAGGTGATGGAGGAAAAGTTCACTTCAGTCCTACCTTCGTTCTTTCTTTCCTTTCCAGCTAACGGGAGCGAGGTGCACATCAGTAATGTTCACTTCGAGGACACCGGCGCCTATACCTGCATCGCGCGCAACGAGGCGGGTGTGGACGAGGACATCTCCTCTCTGTTCGTGGAGGACTCCGCTCGGAAAACGTGTATGTATAAGTCATGACGTGCAGTCCATCCCTCCCTATGATGGAACTTCACTTCCTGTTTCTTTGCATTATTCATCAGACTGAACATTAATAGTTTATAAACTTCAGATAACTTCAGATAATAATAGTACCAGAAAGAGATCAAATAATGGAAGAAGAATCCCAGCGGCCTGATTTTTCAATATTTGTCAGTAGGTTTATGGTGCTATGCATTGAAATAAATGGAAAATAAGATTTATTATATAAGATTAACTGAAGGAATTTCGTATTGAACTTTGAATATTGAACAGATTTAGAATTAGAATTAATTCGAATTAATCTTTTGTTCAGTAAATTATTATTTGAATGTTTTTGTATCTAAAAGTTATGACAATTTAAAATTAAATCAGTAAAAAAAAAACAGTAAGTCTTTCATTCTTCATTTAATCCATTTTACCTTTGTAGGGTAGGAAATATTGCTTGTTTTTGTCTTTTGAAATGAGTGCTGCTTGTTTTGTTGATGACTCTGCTTAGTCAAAAAACACTTGGGATTGTACTTGGGAGTGTTACTATGGGAGCACTGAAAACTAAATTTTATTGAATGTTTCAATATCATTTTTAGATTTTCCTCTTGCTGTCACCATTTATTAAACAACCGCAACTAGTTGACCAAAAGAACTCCAATAGTTAACCAGTTGATGAAACCCTTACACTACCATTCAAAAACAAAAGATTGGGAAGTTTTATTTTTAGTTTTATTTTTGATAAAGAATAAAGGCTGCATTTTTTTTAATATAATTTTAATTTAATTTGAATATAATTTAAAATGTAATTTATTTCTGTGATGGCAAAGCTGAATTTTTATGCATCATTACTCCAGTCTTCAGAGTCACATGATCCTTCAGAAATCATTCTAACATGCTGATTTGGTGCCCAAGAAACATTTCTCATTATTATCAATGTTAAATACATTTTTTCAAGATTTTTTTGATTAATTGAAAGTTCGAAAGAACAGCTTTTAATTCTAATAGAAATTGTTTATAACATTACAAATGTCTTTACTGTCACTTTTGACCAATTTAATGTGCCCTTGCTGAATAAAAGTATTAATTTATTTGTAAAAAATCTTACTGACCCCAAACTTTTGAATGGTTGAGTATGTGTTTTTATGTGCTTGTTGATACAGTCTGGTGATTCATTGTATTGTAAGCCATGAAGTTCTGGGCAGTGAAGGATGCATAGGAACCTCACAGGTCATCGGTCATGTTACCTCTAATAGTTTTGTGAAGGTGTTGGGATACATAGTTCAGAGGTCTGGGTATTGTAGTTTAGCGAGATGTGACCGCTCAATGCACTGTACAGACAGAAGGCCAGAGTTTCCTCACAGGTCATACAACCAGAGCCAGTGCTGCCTGTGTTTTCCCTGCATGCATAAAGGATGAAAGTATTTTTTTCAGATTCACTACAGCATGCCCACTGATCTGGAGTCAGTTCATCCAGAGCCTTTGATCTCTGCTCCGTCAGATGAACTCCTCCAGCTGTCTGGATCAACACTCGCTCTAGATCATCTCATAGATCTAGATCTCTGCGTGTGAAAATATTCTCATAGGCGTCACAAATCATTTGTATTCTAGAATACATTTTCGCTTTGAGAACGTCATACAGGTTTTAATCAACATGAAAGTTAGTCCACATGGGTTAACTGTTCTTTTAATAGTTCTGATTCGTCTCTTGTGTTGAAACCAGGCTAAATAGTTGGATTTGATAGTCTGTGCTATTGCCTTCATTGTGAATGAGAGGAACAATCCTGCACTGTCAGCTGGGATTTCCTCTCACATTAGTCCTGGAACGGCAGGTCTGAACTCGTAAGCCTGGGATGATACACGGCTCCCTGCTTCCACAGAACGCACCAGCCTGGCAAATACATTTCCATATTGTGCCCAATCACTATATGGATATCAATAAGCCTTTAATACGCTGCCTCAGTTTTGTGCAATGAATTTGTCCAACTTATTTATGCGAGATATGTTTTCAATACATTATATGCCTGAAAATCCAGCTTTCATTGGTGCCTGGCTACACAAGATGACCATTGATACAGAACAGTAATAGCTAGAACTTATAGCAAAGTTGTGTGTTGGCTTTTAAATGTACAGTAAGTATTACAGCTTCTGAAAGGTTGCAGGGGGCGTGCGATAAAAGTAATCGTACATCTAAAGGGCAAAACAAGGTGAGGTTGGTGGTCAGCCATCGGTAGTTGGGGTCAGTGCCGTTCTACAGGTCAGCGGGGGGAAACACACCACACTCAGAGGGGAGATAATGATCTTGGTCCCATCCCTCTCTCTCCTCAAGATTTAAAGGTCAGACAGTGTCCCTCAGCCCAGCCACGGTGCTCTAGAGATCATGAAATTGGGTGTCTGTAAAAAAAAATTCTAATCTTCAAGGGCCACTGAGTAAAAGTCCACTACAATGGTAGTACACTATCTTCCAATTTTGTTTCTAATGGTATTAAAGTGTGAATTTTTTTTTTTTTTTTTTTTTTTTGTCGTACTTTCCACAGACTGTGTTGCTGAACACTCTGGCCCGGTGTCACTTTCAAATATTGTTGTTTAATCGGCACAACATGTCTGGTTTAACAACTAGGATTTCAGAAGTAAAAAAACGTAATATATTTTTGCATATAGACTACTGTACTAAAGTTTGGGGTCGATAAGATTTTTGAATGTTTTTGGAAAAGTCTCTTAAAACCAAGGCTGCATTTGTTTGATCAGAAATACAGTGCAAACAGTAATATTGTGAAGATAAAAACATGAATTTATTACTGCAGCAAGGCTGAATTTTCAGCAACCATTACTCCAGTCTTCAGTGTCACATGATCCTTCATAAATAATTCAGATTTGGTGTTTTAGAAACATTTTTGCTGCTTAGTATTTTTTGTCAAATAAGTCCACTGTAAGGCAAGTACTCCGAGGTGTGCAGTTTATACAAACACAAAATAAACAAAGTCTTGCCTTGAGCTAGCCTGGCATGCCAGACCTACATCAGGATGTTAGGTCTGGTAACTCACCATTGACAGGGTTCAATACGAGGGGCGGGATAAACGGTTGTCTTTCAAATTCCCTCTGCACGCAATAGGATAGCGCTACAACCAACCAGAGCAACGAAGAAGGTGACGTAGTCAGAGCGATCTCACACATCTTCACACAGAACACATCTTCCTTTTTTAAAAATGACTTAAGTGCCGTTCTTTGTTCATGTTTCAAAGAAAAGCTTAACTTTAAATCATCCAGGCCAAAGCCGAATCGAAAGACAGCTGTTCGCCAGCAGCAGCAGCCATTCTTTGTTTTCAAGTAGCAGTGAACCGTCGCATCTGTGTCGTCATTATGTTAAGCCCGCCCCTCGACTCTATACACAATGTGATTGGCCTGACTAGAGTTTGGTTTTTCCAGCTCGAAAGTCAACGGAGAGTTGCTAGACTACACTGGCTGCAAAATAATTTTTGCAGCCGCTAGGGGGAGTCTAGATTTCTAGGCTAGCCTTGAGCATGAACAGGAAACAAACTCACAAACAGCGTTAACACAAAACAAGGCTAGACATGATACAATGGGAACATGAGGGATATACAGTATATACACAAAGACTAATGACTAACAAGATACGCCGCTCAAATCGAACACAACTAATGAGAAAACCTCAAAATAAAAGACACTCAAAACAGACCTTTTTTTTTAGAATGAATAGATACATTTTTGATGAATAGAAAGTTTAAAAGAACAGCAATTTTTTTTAAACAAAAATCTTTTGTAACACTTTTAATCAATTGAATGCATTCTTGCTAAATAAAAGTATTATTTTAATATATATATATATATATATATATATATGAATATAATATGTGTGTGCGTGCGTGCGTGTGCATGTGTGTGTGTGTGTGTGTGTGTGTCTGTGCAAATCGGTGCAAAACCCCTAATTCAATTAATACTTAAGACAGCAAATACTGTCGCAAGTTATACTGCTATCATCAAACATTTGAGTACATCTCGTGTCCCAGAAGATGTATTTGCCATGAGAATGTCAGCAGATGTGTGCTATGGGAGGAGGATTTAAACAGGCGAATGATTTGAAGCTGGTGTGATGCGAAGCACTCAGGTGTGATTGTGCTCATCATCTATAAGAAGAAACGAGACAATAAGCCTTTGCTGTCTTGTCAAGGGGAAAAGTACTGGACAAGTATTTAAGGCTTTCGGATAAACACCACCTGCTGCAAACATACAAACAACAGTAGGGCTGATCTCTGTGGTCTCACGCAGCTGTGTTCTTGTTGGATTATGGGATTCCATGTTTGCTCTGGTGTTATCATGAGAGATGGGGAATGGAAATAAAGGAACAGATGCAGAGAGAAACAAAATGTGTCTGAGTACCCACATTTCCTCAGTCAAACAAAACTCTCATATGTTAGCAAGTGCCTTGCCAAAAGCCAAATGGGATGGTTACTTTTTTTGGATCAGGAAGTCTATGCTCTACTCTATAGAGAGCTTTTCAGAACCCTGTAATTTTGTTTTCTTCTCTGTCACACACTAGGCCCATCAAAACAATGCAGGCATCTCTTTGCTGTTGCATGCTGGGATATGCCAGTGATCACGCTCACCTCTGCCATTAAAAAAAGTTTTTAAGTTAAGTGTGGACAGCTCTGATCTAAAGAAATATTGAACTGTATGCAGCCATTTCCTTGCTTTTATTCCTTTGTTCATTTCTAATTCTAATGAAAAGAAAAAGAATCCTAGTTCAGAAAACTTGTCTAAACAATTTGTTCACTACTCTCAGCCATCATTTACACAGCAGGCTTCAGTCTATTTTGGTCTGTTTCTCACACAGGGATTTTTTTATTACTTTAGAAATGTTAGAACATAGCATATATGTCACATAGACTCAGTCTGAAACCTCTGGTCTCCATTCATTGGATTTGGAGTGACATGAGGGTGATTAAATTATGAGAAAAACTTACATTTTTTAATGAAATATTCATTTACTATACAACCCATAAGACTCTCATCTTCGAAACACAAATGAAGTTCTTTTTAATGAAATCTGAATGAAATTTTGACTAAACCGCCCAATTCATATGGATTAGTTTTACAATCTATTTACGAACATTTTGAAGTGGTATTTGCCTAGGCTGACAATGGAAAGACCGAAATCTCACAGAGATTGAGAACATTTGTGTTCCGAAGATGAACAAAAGTCTTACAGGTTTGGAACGACATGAGCGTGAGTAAATGACATTTTCATTTTTTGAGTAAACAAACCCTTTATGCGGCACAACTGTTTTTAACATTGGTAATAATAAGAAATGATTGTTGAACACCAAATCAGCATATTAGAATGATTTCCGAAGGATCATGTGACACTGAAGACTGGAGTAATGATGCTTATTTTCAAATGTAATGATATTTCACAATATTACTGTTTTTAATGTATTGTTTATTGAATAAATGCATAAATACAAATAAATAGTGAGCATAAGAGATCATTTCAAAAACACTAGAAATACTTTCTGACACCAACTGTGTATATAAATACTGTTTCATGCAGACTTGCCTTTTTTCTCTCTTATTAATTTAATGTAATTAATTATCAACTTGAACCTTGTGTGTGCAAAGATGTGTCTTAAGGCCTGTTTTCTTGGACAGTTTAGCCTTACACTCCATATTACCGCTCTAAGGCAGAAATTAGTGGCTATTTTCTTTTTCCTTCTTTCATCAAATGTATTTTCCGGAGTCTATTTCAGCATCAGCCACTCTCTGAGGTGTTGCCCTAAACCTGAAGGCATTAACCTCAATATCCAAAAGACTGTAGGAGTTTGTATTAAAGTTTAAAGAAAGCAATACCAGCAAAATAAGGTATAGCACTCATCTGTAAGGTAGCATGACCTTCCAACCCTACTGAATACACAGTATTTTTCCATATACACACTGCACACTATGTAGAAAGTAGGAAAGGTTACTTCAACAACTCCTTCAGTAGTATAGAATATTCACTTATTGAGTCTTCATAATTGTCGTAATTAAATCATGTTTGCTCTTTTAATTATGCAGGACCACCAGGGGTATTTGCATAACAGAGCATTACCGCGATAGACACAGAGTTGCATTCTCAACTCATGAATGCTTTGATAGGTCCATGAATGATTCAGAGAGGCAAAGCTGAAATGCGCACCCCAGGCATTCGTCTTGATTAGTTTTCCGTTGTGTTGGAGACCTAATTAGAGTCCAACACTGGCCATCACCTGTTACACTATCGCAGTCGACTTGTACCACTGCTTTATCTCCCACTGGCAGCTTGAAGTGTGACTCTGCTGTCGAGAACATAGCGTTTCGGTCAGAGTGTATTTGAGTTTGTGGTTTCTCACAGCAGCCCTGTTCCACTAACCTGAACCATTTTGATGGATGGATGAAACCAATTATGTAATATAATGTACAAACTGGGCTTTTGTATGGGCTTTTTCTATAAAGATCCATGCTTTTTTATATGATGTCAAATAGTGAATAAGCTACTGATTTGTCTAATGTGACAATGTCCAACAGCGACACCTGTGGATAGAGGGAGGCAGTGTCTCTTTTGACCATTGCATTCATGTCACTGTGACTGGCTAACCGTCAGCGCAACAATGATTGGTGCAAAATATTGGTTACACTTTATTGCTATAGTCTACTGTAGGCATTCTACTATCTATAAGTAACTTTGCAACTATGTCAACTAAGTCTCATTCATTTGCAAATTACATGTCAACTAACTCTCCTTATAGTATTAGTAGACTGTTAGGGTAGGGTTAGGGTTAGTAGAATGAGATGACATCTGTAAGTTACTTATAGTTTGTAGAATGTCTAAAGTAGAAAAAGTCGAAATAAAGTGTTTCCAAAATATTTTTTAGCAGCTTTTGGGCCAGGTTTACTAACAGTTTGCTCCAGCGTAAACCCTCTTTAGGTGTTAAAAAACTACTGTCAGGATTTAACTGAAGACTGCACGCAGTGAAAAATCAGCACTGAAAAGGCTTGGGCACAGTTATTTTTGCGGCTGACTTTATTGCTTATATTGCAGATGCAAAATTTATGAGAGGAGAGTATTTAAATGAATCGTGCCAGTCAATTTACTGGTATGTGCGCCATTACTTATGCCCAAAAACAGCACTTAAACCAGACTCTAATTTGAGCTGCTCTTGGTAGACTGCGTTGGCCTTTATGGAAATGATCCGGCTGCATTTGTGTTTTTTAATTTGCGCGTCGTCAGTAGATCACGCGTAGAACTTTCCACTCCCATCGGCGCTTTTTTTGGTGTGTAAGGGGCAGTGTTGTGCCTAAACGCGTTCAATGAACGATAGTTTATGAACTCGTTCATATTTTGGGCGAACGTAAACTGAACGTACTGAATTACTGCCTGATGAACGTTACGGTGAGTACGTTCAGTTTACTCGTTCATTCTGGTGTCTGTGAACGCACGCTCTCTCAGTTTAACTGTGTTTAATAGGGTGCCAGATTTCTATAGAGCCTTCCAGGCGAAAACCCGGCTAAAACACACGTAAACAGGCCTTAATATGTAGCTGGAAAAAAACACCCAATCTGGCAACACCAACCACCAGTGTCGCACCGCGGCCGCCGCATGCGTCATCAAGCAGCGAGCGAGGAGGCGTCGTATATGATTATTTAAACGAGTTGTATGACAAGGTCGGTGAGGATGGGAAAAATCTTACATTTCTGTGCAAACTTTGCCCGTCGATAAAATAATTGCTGTCTGTGGTATGGGCTGTGGCAATAATAATAATTTTAAAAAAAGCTCGCAGCAACATATGGAAAAAAAGAACTATGAACTAGTTCATTTTTTGAAGTATGAACTATGAACTGAATTTTAAAAATTTGTGAACTGAACTTTGAACTAGTTCATGTAGAAAATGAACTTTCCCAACACTGGTAAAGGGGTTCTTACGCTAATTTGCCCTGTTTAGTTAATCTGGCCCTTCAATTTTTTATTTTTTTTTGAGAATGTTAAGAATAGTAGTTTAGCATAAACATACAAAATGTTCTGGTATTTTTGGTTGCATGTTGAGTCTGAATTTAATTTGAACCCAGACCTAGAGTGACTCCACTGAAAGAACTTCTTATTCCCAAAGTTCTTTATTCTCCCTGCTCGGTGATATTGTGTCAGTACACTGTGTTATTGGAAAAGACAGGGCTTATTTCTTCCAAACCACTCCCTTCTGCTTCCATTCTGTAGCGGAGCTCCGTGTTTCCCCAGTCTTTTTTACATTCCTCATCAATTGCTGATGCAGTGGCAATATTTTTCACAAAAGTCTTTTAGATTGCGCCGATACATTAACTCATAGAAAAAGAACTTGACTAAGGACTTTTTTGAAGATGAACTCACTATTGTTGAACGCGTTACTCTGCTCCCCTGTCTTCTTGATGAAGTGAGAGTGGAGAATGAGAATCGCTTGGTGTAGGGATTGTAGCACAGGTGGATTGTGGGAGATTGATTGGCAGTCTGTGAGAGATTGAATCAGATTGCCGAGGAACGGTTAGAGGTCACATCTTCACTACAAACCGCACTAGTGAACAGTCAGTAATAACGTAATGAGGAGGAGAATTTGGTTGTTACTGGCATAATGTGCTGTTCTTTCATGCTAATATATTTATCAATAGATCCTGGGTGACACATATTGATGAATAATGGCACATCTGTCATTTGAGGGTAATGGCCGTCATTGTTATTTTTAGCACAAATGCTGGGGCCATCAGGGATCATTTCTTTCTAGCAGAGGGGTTTTATTGTAGTTATTAGCCCATTTATTCTGCTCTAAAATGCTTTTGGAATTATTCTGGAGTTAATTGTGTGATATTTTTTGGTTATGCTTTGCTAAGCTGCTTGATTGCCATAAGACCCATTTTAAAGTATTTTGATCATTGTTAGTAAGGCATTGATCTCAATCTCCAAAGTTTAAGTGTTTTAAAAGGTAATACTATTCACAGCAGTTATGGGTAAATAATCATGCTTAATGCAAAGATAAGCTCCGACTTTCACCCTTATGCACATTGTTTCCTCCGTGTGAACGCTGTGGTTGGTGGCTCTGCGTGTGTGTGTATAAATCCCCGCAGGCCGACCTCAATGTATAATGCCGACACAGTATTGATTACACATGAGCGAGTCAAATCAATAAACTCCTCGGGTTGCAGAGTATAATTACTTGGCCAAATCAAATACAACTCTCCATAGCTTCAAACTACGTTCGAAAAACCAACCAGAATTACAAATGTTGTTGCAATAATCTGTGGGAGGTTTATAGCCGGAAGTGTGAGTTCATCTTTTATCTCTGGTGTATCGGATTTGAAAACTTTCAGAAGAGTAAAGTGCATCACACCTCTCTCATGGGAGTTTTCTTTGTGTTCTCTTTCAGTGGCAAACATCCTGTGGAGAGAGGAAGGTAAGCATGGCGTTTTAATACAATATTAATGTGAAGCGTTTGTCTGGACTGTGTTAATGCTGCGGTCCACCATGTTTTCGGGGGGATCTGAGCCCTGAACACACTCATTTATGTCCCACTACAGGTCTGGGGATTGGAAACATGTTCTATGTGTTTTATGAGGACGGTATTAAAGTCATCCAGCCAGTGGCCTGTGAGATTCAGAGACACATCAAACCCAGCGAGAAGCTTCTTGGCCTGCAGGTGAGCTGTCGTATCAAAGAAATGTGAATTTAAAAATGTACAATAGAAACCCTCTGTTTTCCCTCCTGCTTGCTCTAACCCAAAGCAAAGGCTGAAGTTTAGGAGTGCTTTTTATTTAGCAGCTTTTTGGTACATTTATTTCACAACAAGAACGGCTGATTGCTGATGTTTGCTACATGCTCCCAGAGTTATGCTACTTTAGCTCATTTGCTACATACAGCATGGATGGTGCTGCATTCATCCACCCTTCCTTCTTTCCTTCCATCCATCCACCCTTCCATCCTTCCTCTTTTTCTTTCCTTCCATCCATCCACCCTTCTTTCTTCTTTCCTTCCTCTTTTTCTTTCCTTCCTTCCACCCATGCTTTCTTCCTTCCTTCCTCTTTTTCTTTCCTTCCATTCATCCACCCATCCTTTCTTCCTTCCTTCCTTCCTTCCTATTTTTCTTTCCTTCCTTCCTTCCATCATCCACCCTTCCTTTCTTCCTTTCTTCCTTCCTCTTTTTCTTTCTTTCCTTCCTTCCATCCATCCACCCATACTTTCTTCATTTCTTTCTCTCTTTCTTTGTTTGTTTCTTCCATCTCTCAATCCATCCATTCATCCTCCCTGTCTTTCCAGCTACCCGTCCTTCTTTCCTTCCTTTCTTTTTCTTTCCTTCCTTCCTTCCATCCATCCATCCACCCATCCTTTCTTTCTATCTTTATTTGTTTCTTTCTTTCCTTCCTTCTCTCCATCCAGCCATTCATTCTTCCTTTCTTTCCATCCATCATCCTTCCTTCGATCCATCCATTCTTTCTTTCTTTCCATTCATCCATCCTTTCTTCCTTCCTTCATGCCTTCGTTTTTCTTTCCTTCCTTCCTTCCTTCCTTCTATCCACCCGCCCGTCTTTCTATCCTTCTTTCTTTGTTTCTTTCTTTCCTTCCTTCTCCATCCATTAATACATTCATCCATCCTACCTTTCTTTCCATCTCTCCTTATCCATCCATTCATAGTTCCTTCCTTCTCTTTCTTTCTTTTCTTCTCTGATCCATCCATTCATAGTTCCTTCCTTTTCTTTCTCTTTCTTTTTATTTCATCTCTCCATCTATCCTTCCATCCATTCATCCTTCATTCCTTCCTTCCTTCCGTCCATCCACCTATCATTTCTTTCTCTCTTTTTTGTTTCTTTCTTTCCTTCCATCTCATTCATCTCATCCCATCCCATCTCATTTCATTCCACTCACCCATCCACCCGTTCTTTCTTTCTCTCTTTCTTTCCTTCAATCTCTCCATCCATCATTCCTTTCTTTCCATCCATCCTTCCTTTCTTTCCATCCATCCTTAATTCCATTGACCCATCCATCCTTCCTTCTACCTGTTCCATCCATCCATCCATCCATCCATCCATCCATCATTTCTTTTCCGTAATTCTTCTGCTGCTTCTTGGTTGCATATCAGTATAAACAGCAATACTGAACTTTCTCAGCACAGACATCAGTTGAGCTCCTCCCTCCATCTCTTACATCCCTACACTGCATATCATTTCTCGGCTCTTTCTGATAGGTAGCTGCTAGATTTACACAAGCTATTAAATGATTGCCTTCCTCTGTTCTGCTGTTCCATCGGAGCTGGGTATGCTGATGAGACAGCTGTGTTTGTTTGGAGCTCTGGGCGGTGAGAGCTTGAGTTTCCAGCCTCCAGAGAGGCAACAGGCCTCTATTAGGACATCAGTCAAATGCCAGGCCATAACGGCAAGCCCCAGTGCAAACTCTGTCTGGGGAAGAACATTTAGAGAGCATTACGATATGTTTTTCCTATGTTCTGCTTGTGGGAAATCACTGTCACATGTACTTCCCTCTTTTTAAAATATTCACTGATCGTTTTAAAGATCTTAATGATCATTGCAGTTAAAATAGTGGCAGCTGACACTATTTTATAATTGATAAACACTATGTTTTGATTAAACTTCAATAGCAAATGTGCAACATTGTTGGTTAATTGTTAAAATGACACCTCAATTGAAGAACAAATATATAATCTAAATTATTTTCACAAAATAAATATTAAAATGATTAATGATAATTGCTGGTTATTGATAAAGATAGGAAATGTTTCTTGAGCACCAAATCAGTATATTAGAATGATTTCTGAAGCATCACTGAAGACTGGAGTCATGATGCTGAAAAATCAGCTTTGCCATCTCAGGAATACATTTTATTCATTTTAAAATATGTTCACATAGAAATCAGTTATTTAACACATTGTTTCAGAGCGAGAGAGCATGTATGGATCAATTTACAGCCGTCTTTATTAAATTAATATAACAAAAACACTCAGGAGCAAGGAAGATGCATTGGAGCAATGCAAACTAATATACACTACCGTTCAAAAGTTTGGGGTCGGTACGATTTTAAATACTTTTAAAAGAATCCTCTTCTGCTAACCATGGCTGCGCTTAGTTGATTAAAAATACAACAAAAATCAGTTATAGTATTAAATATTATTCCAGTGTAAATCAGCTGTTTTCTGTGTGAATATATAGTAAAGTGTAATTTATTCCTGTGATCAAAGCTGAATTTTCAGCATCACCAGTGTCAGTGTCTTCAGTGTCAAATCATCCTTCACAAATCAGTATAATATGAGGATTTGATGATCAAGAAACATTTATTATTATTATCAATGTTGAAACAGTTGTTGGTCTGTCAGTTGTACAGTTTTTTTTTTGTTTTTTTTTAGGATTCTTTGATGAATAGGAAGTTTAAAAGAACAGCATTTGTTTGAAATAGAATCTTTTGTAACATTATAAATGTCTTTACTGTCCTTGATAAATAAAAGTATTGATTTCTTTCCTCCAAAAAATAAAAAATAAAATTCTCACTGACCCCAAACTTTTGAACGGTAGTGTATACGTAAGCAATAACAATAACCCCCAACTAAATGTGGTATAAATACCGAGGACAAAACCAGTAACTAAACTAGCATCAGATGAGCGCAATTGGTAACTAAAACAAACTAGGACATAAGAAACCAAGGCAAAAAAGCAACATTCTTTGTGATCTCATGAGTAAGCTTTGTAATTTACAAGCATTAAAAATAACCTTAAAAGCCAGTGGCTGTTGGACCAACTAAATCTGTATTTGAGTCTTGCAAGAGTGTCGCTAGACCTGACGAACCCAGTCACATCCGTCTGAGTCTCCGTCTTGATTGTCGTTGGCAGCCCTTGAGTAGCCCAGTCAACCGCATCACCACAGGAGATGCCCACTTCTGCACAACCTTTGTGGCCATCCATCAAGCCAGCTCTCAGCTCTTTAACCACAGCACATTCAGCCTCAGGTCTGACAGACACTCACATTTAGACCGAGCTTGCCTTCATGATGACACTTCTCCCCACTATCAGTCTCTTCCTCTGAGGCAGATGCTACAGAGTCTTATACTGGTTTCTTTCACAGATTAATTTGTTCTAAAGAACTGATTCATATAAGCTATGTGACTTCATTGAAAAGTGTAATAGTATTGTTGAATAGGCCAGCAGTGTTCTATCGAAAAGAGACATTCAACTCAGAAATAAGCCATTTTTGAGGTGCATTCACTCTCCATAATGTTTCTGTGTGTGGTCAGTTTTTATTACCCTTTTTTTATTCCTGAAGGAGGAGGTCTGTCCACAAGTGGAGGGAGAGAAGGATCAGAAATGTATGTGGACATCAGCTGTCAATGTGAAGGACAAGTTCATTTACGCCACACAGCCGTTGCTGAATAGGCTGCTCATTGTAGACATCCAATCCCAGAAGGCCGTTCAGGTAAGCCAGTTAATCAGTAACCAAAACACTTTTCTTGTGAACATACCACATGATTAAATTTGAAAAATGTTGCAATTTAATGTCTGTAATGTGGCATGCGTACTGCATAATTCATAATCCTCAAGTTCTAGTTGGCATATTTTAAAGTCGGCACTATAGGGAAGTTGCAATATTCTTTTCTTCCATATTGTGACGTATATCAGAGGGAAGCAGCTTCTACATATAAAAATAAGATTTAAAAACTTGATGAAGTAACTGATTACGAAATTTTTATTTTTGAGTGAATTTTTAATTCAGTTGTTGAAAAGTAGATACCTTCTACAATTTGATCTATGATCTAGACATGAAATGCAGTGAACAGCTCATGTGCCTGGCTGAAAAGTGGTTTGCCAGGAATGCCAGGATAAGTGCCAGCAAGACATTTTCTCCATGCCAGGCCTCACTTGGGTATCCCATGATGCCTCATGATGCACTGGCACTCATGATTCAGTCATCTGCGAGTTTGGTTATCATTACCCCATGCAGATTAGCAAGTGCTAAATAGCCACCTGATCTTTTAGAAACTGAAAAGCAGAGAGAAGAATCCAATATTTGTCTACAAATCACATTTAAGCCAGAGCATTCACTATTTATCAACCAAAACGGTTTATGCTGAAAATGTAAAAAGTTACAGCTTTTTGTAACTGCTAAGGATGGCGTCGAGAACTTGTTTATATGTGCTGAAGAGTTTCTATTATTTAATCTAATCCTCGGAAGAAGGGGGAGGGATGTGCTGGGATAAAAATTCAATGTGCACATCTGCTCCCACAGATTATTGCACACATGGAGATTGACGCTGAAGACAACAATCAGCCTCCTTCGTCATAGCTAAACACGAACACTGGTTCACTCTTGGTTTCTTTTAAAGCCGTGTGTTGTCGAAACAAGCTGTGCACATGCTCACATTGTGGAGAACTTAACAGGGAATGCTGCACCAGATGAATACAAAACACTCATCTGAAGTTGGAGACATTTTGAGAGAAAAAAAAAAACTCCACTCCACTGAGAGTAAAAGAGAAAGCATAATCATTTTTGCGATGCTCAATGTGCAAATTGACATTTTTTTTCATATTCGCGTGCATCCATGTAAGCACAATGAGGTGTGAAAATTGCACAGTAAGGCTATCACTGCACAAAATGAATCATTTGTTTCCCGGTGGAATATCTCCAGCCAGGTGACAGAGAATGGATATGGATGCAAAGCTATAATTGCAAACTGGCTGAGCTATTGTTACTGTCAGCACTGTATTTAAAATGCACACCCATAACCAAACTCTGCATGTGCAAAAACAAAAACGTACAGCTGTGTTTTCGGAAGCAACACACGTTCTCTCTGTCATGGTTGCGTTGGACTTGTAAACTTTTATTGTGACTTTTGTAGAATGTTAAAAGTCATTGAGCTTTTATCACATGGTGTGAATCAGCCTCTTGAATTAATATAATGAGTTCCAGTGATTTTATTGAATTCTCACAAGGGACTCTTTAGAAGCAGACAATGTGGAAAATGGATCAATTTTTCAAAGAGACTCTGGGCAAAAATGCTGAAGCGCAGGGACGTGCACAGGAATTTTGAGGGGCAGTTGCTCTGACCTGAAAAAAGGGTCCCCCCCCCCCCCCCCTATAGATGAGATACATGAGAAAAAGAGTTCCTCATATTAGTTTATTTAATTATTTTTATTTATTAATTTTATTTGAAAAGAAATAATCTGGATTGAATGGAAAAACTTGCTTGTATGAAAAAAAAAAAACGCTTAGATTTTGGGAAAAAATACAATCCTTTTTTTAACCTTTTGGCTTCCCGTACATTCAGTTGTGCTTCTTGCTCGTATTCAGTTCGTGAGTTATGTAAACCATTTGCCATTGCCACACAGTCACAACTGACACTTCGGTGCTCCCAATACAATCCTCCCTCCTTTAAACAAAACAGTCAAAGAATAAGTAGCTACAACAATATAGAACAGAATGAGGTTCAAACAAACAATATTTATTGAATAGAGTATTTTCTATAGAATGTTAACATAAGTGAATATTAACGTAAACATAAATAAGAAGAAAATAATAAATTATAACCCTGAGCTTTGGCTTTTTTCGGATTAATTATGGTTTTAATTATGGACATTAATTATGTCCAGCTAATCAACATTTTAAATTCAATATAGTCTATAAATCAATAGTCAATCAATGTCAAATTGTCAATACATTGCTTTCTATCTTGCATAATTAGTGCAGTTGTTTAGAGTTTTTAACTACACTGAGACTAGATAATCAGTGTCTTGTTTTATAATGTGTACTTTGATTGGGAGTGCCATCATTCACGTGCATGTATTGCACAGTATGTCTGGTCTCCACATAATTCTGCTTGAAAAATGCCGGTTTCATTTCGTGCACGCGCATGAACGCACGATAACACACGCGACGCGGTTATGTTTTCTGAGCTGCAGTAAACAAACACCGTTGCACTTTGTCGTTTATCAAAAACAAACGTAAAAAAATTGTATTTTACTCTCACTTTTGTCAGGCACAAAGTGATGCAAGAGATGCACTGCCTGCCCAGCTAGGTTAGCAAGACCGAAAAACATCAAACTATGCTGACATCAAACTTAGAGAGGAGAGAACACAAGTTTACCTGATTGTTGTTCCCGCAATTCACTCTCATGGTTTTTTCTTCTTCCTCTTTTCGTGACCAAAAGGATAGTTTCGCTTCATTTTGTCATGGATGTTGTACACATTAATTGACGCGCTATGACACGAGATGGAGGCGGGGCCTTAAGTAATTTGCGGGGTCTTACGCACCGGTCGCGTGCAGCGCTGCAGCCACGTAAACAGTTGAGCTGAGTGCCCGAATGGAAGTGAATGAGGCTTTGCGATTTTTTTTTTTTTTTTTTTTTTTCTCTAGGCCTACGTGAAATTCTGCATCCATTGTACGATTTTTTATTTTAATTTTTTTTTTCCTCGGAAGGGCAACCTGAGTCGAGAAGGGCATATGGGCAGTTGCCCGGGCAACCTGAGCAACCCCCCTGTGCACGTCCCTGCTGAAGCGTCTGTCTTAGTTGTGCCTAGCATGAGATAAATATAAAATTTCACTCCAATGAATACTGTTTAGCTCATTTTGAATTGGATTGTGTGCCATTTAGAAGTGAATTGAGTGTGAAAATGTACATTAAATTATATTGAATTCATAAATGTGTATTTATAAATAAAAATAAGTCTCCTATGCTCACCAATGCTACATTTATTTGATCAAAAATACTGTAAAATATTGACATAAATATTTTTTGTGTAAAACATGATTCTTTGATGGATAGAAAGTTCAAAAGAACAGCATTTATTTCAAAATAAATATATTTTTGTAGCGGTGTAAAAGTCTTTACTGTCACTTTTGATCAGTTTAATGCATCTTTAATGCATTTTTAATGGATCGTGAAGCCAATTTAAAGAGAAAACCCTTAAACAGAGCAACTCTTCTGTTTTTGCTTATTTTGTTGTTGTGTTGGACTAATGAAATTCCTCTGTTGTGTGACTGTGTTTAATTTATTTGAATTGCATTTAGTACACTTCTCTTCCTGTCATCCCAGTTTAACATCCTGTGTGGATAATTCAGTTCAGATTCAGTGCTTTAAGTGGGCCGGTACGCACCGGTACTCAGTACCGCCACTTCCAAATATAGCTCTTGAGCGTACCGCCACCTCTCCGTGCGCCCAGAACGTGCTTTTAGCGTACCGGTACGCTCATTTGCACATCTGTTTTAATCCTTTGGCTGCACTGCCGCTTTTCAGAGCTCCCTTTACAATGCACGCCTCCTAATTCGTCCCACCGAGAGCAGAGACTACATTATCCATACACCCTTGAGTTTTACAAGTGAAAAGCGCATGCGTCGCTTTTGCCGCTGTCAGTGCTAGCTACTCGGTTAAAATACAAACAGAGCATCACAGTGCGTGCCGTGTACCTGTCTGGTTAAACCCCGCGAAGGTCCGTGAAGACTGAAGATCGTGTAAAGACGTAGGGCTAGCTCATTGGCCGCACGTCAGAGGCGCCCGTGCCATTGGATGTGCAGTTGGCGCAGTACAGCCTATGAGCGAGCCAGATGCTCAATGTGTTTTACATATAAGCTTCATTAAATTAGAAAAGGTGTTTCCCTGCACATTCACCATATAAAATTCACTGGAGGAAAAAGTTCGCGTGGCCGTCGTCAGATTTGGAAGTCGCTCAAAAGGCTCTTTCGCGGTTGTGGCTTCAGTCGACTTCAGTGAGGCGCGGTGGTTTATGGGATGAGTAGTTCCTTCGCTCGGAAATGAAAATATGTACACAGTCTTGTACCTTTGATTTTATTTGGATTTTCTCTCCGTTTTTTCACTCGAAACGATATGTTGTATGCTTATGAGTTCAGCCGTAGCTGGTTATCCTCAGACATGCTCTAAAACTCTTTAGATATGTTTTTTCCAAAACGTCAATGGGAGAAATGAATGGGAAATTTACTTCCGGCACCGAAGCTCAGAATAATTTTTTTTTTTTTTTTTTTTTTACAAATGTAATTTTACTCTGTTTATTAATGTTTTTACTCAACATCTGTGCAGTTTTGGGAGGATTTATGATATCTTTTAAATTTCTATAAATTAATATTTATTTAAATAGGCTTTTTACAAAAAAAACAGCATTTATGTCAAATTCACTTTATAAAAGACCCCGATTTCTAACTTTCATTCATGGAGATAACATGGATAATTTTACATGGTTTAATGTAAGATTTTTGGCCATTTTTTGGAAAATGCAGTTTTAAAATAAAATAAAAATCACTTTAATCACTAGATGGCTAGAGCTTCACTATATGCTATTTGCTATTTGACTAATCAAAATATATCTTTTCACAAGTTTTTCCAGTTGGATTCATATCCACATTTTGTACATTTTATTTATGTTCAGTAGCTCTTTCTACTGTAGCTCTTTCTAAGGGTATTTTTTCAATACCATTTTGCACATTTTATTTATGTTCAGTAGCTCTTTCTAGCTAAAGTAAATCCACAAACTAATAAAAGGATGTATTATTTTTTATAAGGTCGTCTGTTGACTGCTGTTTATATAAACCCCCTTCAATATAGTTGTTGTTACCTCAGGGGAGGAGGGGAGTCAGCAAAAAAAAAAAAAATAATAATAATAATAGAGTACCGCCACCTCTTTTGGGCCACTTAAAGCACTGTTCAGATTTCATCCTATGAATTGACCAACCCTGCTTACTAAATTACATTTTACAGTATCTGATTTTGCTGAGCAAATGGAAAGAGTTGATCTGTTGTTGTCAACAGACTGTAAGCACAGACCGGGTTCCAGTGAAGCTTCACTATGACAAGTCTCATGACCAGGTGTGGATCTTGAGCTGGGGAGATCTGGAGAAGAACTTTCCAACCCTCCAGGTAAGGCAAATCCCTCTAGGATCATCTTTGAGTGTTAATCACCACTTGATGGCTGCTTCTGAAAGCTGCTCTCAAACAAGAGAACTGGGACATTCTGCCTAACATTTTCTCTCATCTGATTATTCAAGTATATGATCTGGCCCTGCTTGGTATGTTTTGATGATTTTAGTTGACATTTTTGGAGCATTCCCAAGTGATGTAATGTTGAACCAGCACAGCAAGGAGTCTCAGTGGGGTTTCATATCGCATAATTGGCACAGCCTGTCCCCCATAAACCATAGCTTTGGTTAATCACAGACAGAATACATTGAGCTCCTCTAGACAAGGAGAATTCTGGTGCGCATGAAAGCCCTAATGAAATTGCAAAACTCATGTTCCTGTTGAATATGTGACTCTTCAGGTGATCAGCCAGGCCAGTGAGAGCATGTCCCATCACACCATTCACACCAAACCAGTTGGCCACCGCTTCGACAGGGTGGAGGATTTCTTCATTCCTCCCATCAGCCTCACCATCAATCACATCAGGTAAAAGAGAGCGAGACCTCCACCATATATATGAGCATATGAACACGTACTGACTGTGATTATAACTCCAGAGAAAACAGCACTAGCTCTGGATAGTGTGTAAATTGCATTCAGGGACTGACATTTAGATCTTAATAAACCATTTTGTGCATTCATAGTCACTCACATGGGGGAGTACATTTAGAGGTAGTCGAGGGGGAAATGGGAGTTTAAACCCTGAACAAACAGACCAGGAGATGCTGTGTGGATATGGAAATCTCATTTGAATTGATTAAAATCTGAGTTGAAGATTACCAAGCATGCCCTGATCCTCTTACTGTCCCCTGTTGGTAGATGGATGTTTACTTACGCTATCATGTCGTGCTAATATAAAAAATAAAAAATTCCAGACGCTAGATAGATTTACTTGTTCTCTTCGTCAAGAGAGCAAGTCTGTGCTAATGACGAGAACACAGTGGCAAACAATTTAAAATGTTCCCATGAAAATTACAAATGTGACGGTCGTGAAGAAATCGTACACTCTGTTCCGAAACATTGCTGTCTGCTGCCTACATACACAGCGAGTGATCAGAACACTTTATAGTGCAACAGTTCCAGCCCACTTTTTCAGTGGCTTTGTTTTCAGAAGTATTTTTCCCATTTTTTATATAGGGATTTAAAAAAAAAATAATAATCTTTGTTAAAGAGTTATAAGCTATAAGGCAAACCAACCAGTTACAAGGCGAATCACAACATTCCAAACTTTGATTTGACAGAGAAAAGTATTTGAAAACCATTCAAATAGGCGAAGGTAACTGACTGTGAAACAGCTTATATATACAGTTATAATATATATAGTAATTATATAATAAATATACAGTATATGCTACAATTTGCTATATATATATATATATATATATATATATATATATATATATATATAGGCTATATATATATAGTTATACCACGGGCTGTTTAAATACTCGATTCTGATTGGCTGGAAGGTGTGCAGTAAAACCGTTTAATGCACAGGTAGTTCCAGTCAGTTTGATTACAGTTCGCAGTTAATCCACTACTATAAACATTGGTAACCATAGTAACAGAGTTACACTTGCAAAAGAGTGAGAGAGAGAGACACATATGAAAACGTTAGGTAGGCTCAGAGCCATAGAGAGAAAGAGTTGCGACGCTCTTTGATGTCGCCTCGATGGCTCTCACGTGGTTCATGAAAGCCCCAATAGTTCCAAAACGTACGCTGGCTGTCATGTTCTTCTATGGGACAGACAGCAGCGATTGCATTATTGACCGGTAAATATAAAATAAAACACACACCCAAGTACGTTTTCAGCTGTTACTGAATTATTGCATTTTGTTAATGTCAGTTTTGCATTTGGAGAGGCAGGCTGACAACGAAATACTGTATATTACTTAGATAAGTTTTAGGCTTTTTTTGAGGGAAAAGACAGAGCTAGATAAGATCGAAGATGACAAAGATGAGGTCAATACGAAAAAGACAACTAAATGGGCAGTTAACACTTTCAGTGACTTTTTGCGCCAAAGACAGAACAATTGTGATTTCGAGACCTAACGTTACTATGCTTCTCTTTTAAATTCTCTGATTGGTAGAGATTTCTCTGCAGAATCTTCGGTTATGTGGTTTTTCACCAGGAATTCTACTGTTATACATGGTTATTTAAAAATGCTGAAATAATACAACTGGCTTCACCAAAGGCTTATACCATCGATTAAAGGCCCGATCAAACGAGAACTATTAATGGGCCCCTAAAGAGGAAATATGATTGACAGTTTCTTTACAATCTAATCAAATGAAAGCATATTCACATTTTAATAAGGATATCCAACCAAATCAGCATACCAGTCAGAATCCAATTTGTTTATCTGAAGCGTGAATCAGTGAAATGCTCATAGCGAGCATTTACACTGTTTACTCATATGCAGAGTACTTTCAAATGTTGTTTTGTAACTGAAATTGTCTGTATCTCTTAGTTTAGTGCTGTATGAAGGTGTTGGGGAATGAACATGTACTGTAGTTCATCACAACAGCTATTGACCAGCTTTTGTTAAAAGACATGATCTTAGTCCCACAAAAGAGAGTTCATCCAGAGGGTAATGCACAAAGACCAGTTTAATTTTCAATCCTTTCGGTGTCTGAGATAATACGGCTTACACACATACCACACACACGCACAAAATACACACTCTCTCCTCCTAGAGGAGTCACTGAACCCAGCGGTTTGATTTCACCCTAATATTTACTAGCAGTAATACTGTGCTAGTAGATACATTCCGCACTACAATTCGGTTCCTGTCACCGGAGGTCAGTGCGTGTCAGTCTCGTTTTTCTTGAATAAACTGCTGGGTGGTCAGCTGAGGGTATGTACACTTTTTTGGCGCTTTGCCCCAATAGACTGGTGACATTTAGCAGTGCTGTCTGCTCTCTGATGGAGTAATGTGTTTCAGTGCTCCGAGTCAACGGAGTGCAACATCAGCGCTCTATACTGAAATAGAGGTTAACTCCAATGTAAAGTACTGTAGCCCTCTGATCTTCGCCTGCATGGCAGAAATTTGGATTTAGCACATGACATTAGCTTTTGAATAGTGAAGTTGTGTTTCTTTGGAAACGCTGTTATGTAACCTGTTTAACAAATTACATCATTGATCCAAAGGGAATAAGATAGAGATTGAGAGGGTGATTATTTAAGAGAACAGACTCACAGATCAAGACCAGATATGGTGATCTCATAGGTATTTGTATGTAAAGTGTACACAATTATTGACAGCATTTGAAACCCCTCTAAATCTAAATCCCACCATCTAAATCCCTTTTACGCACAACTTTAGAGCGCTACAAATCCTCCTAATTTGGTTTTACAGCACCTTAAGCTCAATAATGAATTCCAGACTCTCATTTATTCAGTAAATGATGGAGATACTTTGTCTGAGAAAGATCTTTTTTATGGTGAGTTTCTTTACTGATCAGTACTTAGTTAATTAATTAGTACTCTTTAATTTGAATCAAAGCTTAACAGAGTATGAAATATGAGAATGTTTGATGTGTTTAATTCATGTACTGATTTGTGTGTTGTCACAATGGCATCAATCAGTCTTCAGAAGTCACATTGAACATAATTAAACTGTCAAATTAAGTAAATATATTAGCTTGCCAAGGCTGCATTAACTTGATCAAAAATACAGTAAAAAGGTAAGCTTATGATATTTGTAATAACTATTTTAAAATATAATTTATTCCTGTTATGGCAAAGCTGAATTTTAAGCATCATTACTCCAGTCTTCAGTGTCACATGATCCTTCAGAAATCATTCTAATACCGGTATGCTGATTTGGTGCTCGAAATGTTGAAAAAAGTTGTGCTGCTCAATATTTTTGTGTAAAGTCCCCCCCCCATTATGATTATTTGAAAATATATATATATATATATTTATATTATAGACCCTATTTCAAGAATTCTATTAATCTCCAATGAATCATAAACATGTGTACGTCCCTAAAGTCACACATGCAAAAAGGTTAATGTTTTAGAAGCGGTTTGCATGTTGATATTATAAATGTCAGTGTTTATCTAAACCTAAACGCATGCTAGAACCACACTGTACGCATGAATACCCATGAATAATAAATAGATCAACCCGAGAGCTCAATGTTCCTTGTAAATTTATATGAATTTACTCACGTAATCCTCAGGGGGATATTGATTTTTGAAAATATGCTGACATAATGAGATCCGTGACTGGTAAACAGCGTCGATGTCATTTGTACAAAACACTGATGTAAGGAGGAATGTTTGGTGATCCGTGATCCAATAATTACTTCATTCGTTTCTCATTTGAAATGCCTCATATGCTTTGACATCACCTGTGGCAGTGAACTGTTGAGGAGGGATTTGTACAAGGGAGCGACTGCATGTGACATTTTAGTCAGGTTGTCAAATTATTTCAGCATTTACACACCTTCACACTGGGAAAATAACAGCCTACAGGAATCCCATTCACAGCATTCATTGACTTTCTGTCATGCTTTTATCTGCAACCAGCCTGTGGGCAAATATGTTTACGCTTCAACAGTAAAAAAAATACATAACTTTATTTGCTTATTTTCTTTTCTTTTAATTATACAGTAAACCCTTTGCTAATGCCAATTACATATTTTACAGGTCTAAAGGGTTTGGTCAAATTAATATTGAATGCATTTGTATAAATACATGTGCCGCGATGAGTGAGTAAATAGAGAGAATAAAATAAGTGAGTGTGTTTTGTTTGTTCATAAGAAAGGTTGTTAGGGATGCCCAAGGTGCATGTGGAGAACAGCATTGATTTACGACAGGAAAGTGCTTCTATTAATTGCCCTACAGTGCATAAACAAACCCATGGAAATCACAAAGTATACACAATGCCACAAAACCACCCATTTGTGTTGCGTTTTTTATTATCATATTACAAAGCTGTCCTGTATATTGACTGCATGGGTAGAGGCTAGTAACTTTATAGAGTAATGAAAACAGCTTTATTCTTGTGGCTGCAGATATATCCCTCAGACAGAGCTGTGTGCGCCAACTCAAAAAGATGTATATGACACTACAGTATACTCTTCTGGTGTACTAAGGGATACATCATCACATGTCCCTGTAGAAATTATTTTATATATAGCACTAGAAAACTTGTTTGTAATCGTCATTGAGTGATTTCGGGTTCCTCGTGGGTCGCATCAAACATACATTTGTTTTAACAAAGCTGAATGCTGATTCTAAAAGAATTTTACCAACCTCCATAACATCACAGCCAAGTTCGACTTCGACAACACCCCCCGTTGTATTTTTGTGTCTGAAATGCATTATTTTTGGGTCATCGATGTGAGTCCTATAGCGGCAGCCATCTTCACTGTTTTATTCATGTTTTGCCGCATTGGATTTACCACCAAACCTTCACACGCACAAAACGCTAATTCAGTTTATGCAAGGTATGAGCCGCCAAGTGTAACCTGAGTAAACCAGACTTAATGAATTACATGACATGAAATTATTATTATAATTTTTTTTTTAAACAGGTGGTAAACATACAAAGACTATACAAAATACAAATTCACATAAAACGAAACAAAAAACAACAAAAAAAGTTGAAAGAGTGTTTTTTGGTATTCATTTCTTTAACATTTTTTCCACCTCCTTTCCTCTTCCACCTCTTCCCAATAATAATAATAATAATAAAGATATTGATATGATTTGCCCATCGATATGGCTGCCCGTGCATTTCATTAATAGCATTTAAAAAAAAATGTTGGTACATTTTAAAGTCAGCATGAAACAGAAGTTGCAATAGCCTTTTCTTCCCTAATGTGACACATCTGAGTGAAATTGATCAAGAAATTGGCTTCTTGAACAAGAAAAATTGGGCAGGACTTTACTTTGTTCTTCAGGAATTGATTGAATCGTTGGACGGTTGTGGTCGATCTCATGTGAGTGACAGGTTGTCCCGTCCTCGTGCCAGTAAGAGAAGAGAAGAGAAGAGATGTCGCTCCAAAATGGAGGGGAAGTTATTTTGATTAAAGATTATAAGGGGACTTTAAAAAAAAATTGAGCACAGATAAATTATTTATAATAAATGCTGCAATATTCCATAAAAAAAAAAAAGAAATGTCCATTTTGATTTCAAGGTGACTTTAATGCATTTCATAATCTGAAAGACATAAGCCACAATTTTGTCAATACAGTGCAGATGTCGTGCACAAAACGAGTTTGAATGTACTTTTCATGTTGCTGTTTTCTGTTTTCCATGGAGTGAAATGTACATTCACCCTTATGTGAACAAAGAAAGAAACTTTGTGCAAGTTTGGAAAATTGCATGTAAATTAGGTCACAGCTTGGAACCATCCCCCCCATTGGTTTTCATGCAATTTGTCAAAATGTAACACTTTGAAAAGGTAAAAAAAGAAAACTTTTATTCTAGCTTGTCAAAACCTAAAATTTGAAATATATATTAACATAAATGGAGGCACAAATAGCTCATCAGCAGGGAATTTTTCTTGCTAGCAAAATAATCTTATTTACTGTACCCTTGGAGAGTTGACTGGGTATTAATACGCACACTTTTGCGTTCAGTTGCCGGATCCGTCGCCAGGCCTTCTTCCTGGACTTCATAATATAGAAATTAAACCCAGAGCATATCGTCTCAGTCAAAACAGCCTGGCCTGTAACTAATGAACGGACACTGGCTGCCAATTGATAGAGCTCATGACGAGCAGTGATAATCTGTCCCGTCGGTCCGTGGCAGACGTGGCCTTTTGGCCGACTTACATTCTCAAGTACGTAAGAAGATGGATGTCAGGGTTTGAAGTCTCCACTAGAACTGATTGGAGAGTATGCAGATTTAATTGAGCTTTGTCAGATCCTTCATTTCACTCACCAACTTCATTTGTTCTTTGTTCTTCTGAGATTTTTTTATAGCCAATTATCGGGCTCTTTGGATTTCTCAATAGATAAGACAAAGTGTGGCTGATTAATTTTTTAATTGAAATAAATTATGAAAGCCAGGCATCTGGCAGAGGATATTTAGCGTAGACTGATGAATAGAGATGTGACATTGAATTCTTTTTTCTCCCCTAAAGCTTTTGGATCTTCCTCATTAGACTTTAACCTGCACTCTGGGTTTATTCACTCAGAGGCTTTGTTGGTTACTTTCGGTGTGGCAGCTTCTTCTTATCCAAAGCAACTTGCACTTCATTAATTGCAAGCCCAGTGCCCTCAGGGTAACATTACTCAAGTGAGCAATGGAGTTAGATCCAGTTCCAGGCACACTTGGGATCAGAGCTTTTATTTATCGATAAAGATCCTTAACAATTACAGAGCCTCAGGGTTGGCAAAAGTCAACATTTTTGGATTGGCTTCCTTTCAATTCATGAGTTGAACTGACTTTGAGAGTGTTGAATTGGAATGGCTGGAAGAGGAATTTACTGATTTGCAATTTGCAAAGAAATTTAAGACATGACAACACATTACATGACCAATTTTACAACAAAACAAAAATGATTTCGTCTTTAATTTTGACTAATTTATTCAGGTAGAATTTTGTCCCCCCAGCTGATTCAAAAATACTATTAAAACAGGTTTTAATTTTGTCATAGAGCACCACGCTGTGTCCGCCACAATGTATTCGGACAAATATTTTGTATACATTATCATTTATTATTTAGAATAAATAAAACAATTATTGACATTGAAATTGAATTATATATTAATTGTTTGACTGAATTTGAAAGACTTTGAGGTAAATTGTGGACAATGATGGTCCATAAAATGAAAGTTGCTTTATTAAATATAATGAAATGCACCTCAACTAAATGCATACAGTAGATAATGTTTTGCATGACAGAAACCATGTCTTCTAAAATCGTCTAATACATGTTCTCTCGTTAATAGGTTTGGTATTATCCTCCACAAGAATGAACCATCTCTTCATAAGATCGACTTGGAAACCACCTCCTCTGTGAAAAACATTAGTCTGCAGCAGTACGATTGCATCCCACAATCCCTCGCCTACACACACCTGGGTGGATACTACTTCGTCAACTGTTGGCCGGACTCAACAGGTGCGGTACGGCCACAATTAATCATCGATAGCGTAACGGACGATGTCATCGGTCCTAATGGGGATGTGAGCGGCACGCCTTATGTCTCTCCTGATGGCCACTATTTAGTGAGTGTAGATGACCGTGACGGGCTAATGCGCTTGCAGCCCGTGTCCGTGCGGGGCGAGATCGGCCAACCCTTTGACATTCACACCAACCTGCACCTGTCCGATCTGGCCTTCATGCCCTCGTTCACCGAGGATAACCAGTATAACGTGTTCGGCAGCTCGGGCCGGCAGACAGATGCTCTTTTTGTGGAGCTCAGCACCGGTAACGTCAAAATGATCAAGAGCCTAAAGCTGCCCACGGCATCAGCGCAGTGGCCTTGGAACCGCCAGAACAGGGTCATGACTGGCAGCGGGCTATTCGGACAGTATCTCATGACCCCGTCTCAAAGCTCCCTGTTTATACTGGATGGGCGGCTGGATAAACTCAACTGTGAGATCACTGATGTTCCACTGGGAAATACTGTGGTGTGGGTGGGAGAGGCGTAGAGGGAAACAAACAAACAGGTTGCACTGAATTTGGTCTCTGTTTAATTCTCAAAGTTTGGAACAAAAAACTAAATTGACTGTTCAAACCCCTGCATTGGAAAAGAGAACTTGGGAAATGCTTGTTTTTGATAAGTTAGCCAGGTTTTCGAGTCAAATAGCTAATAAGTAGTTTCTCCAAAAATATTAGGTGGTGTCTAACTAGCATTGGTATCAGCGGGAATCACTTCGTTTGAAGCTGAGAATTGTTCAACTGATCAAATGGATCAACTCAACTGATACGGACCCATCTTTTAAGAATAATATTTCCTCGCTATCACTTAATACATATACAAAGCGCATTCGGCCCATTTTTTTCCAGTGCCTTGAGGGAGTACTCGCTAAAAAAGAAAGCCAACATAATAATTCCCCCCGAGCCTGTGGATTAAACCCTCCTTGGCTTTCTCACACACAGAGTGAAAATGAGATCTACACTTAAATTTCACCTGTTTATAACTCCCACAGACCCCGAGGCATATCTGGCTTATTAAAACAGCATCGTGCTGAGAAACTGTCACCTACTGTGGATATTGAGATATCGGTAACGATGTGTTTGACAACTGTAAATCTTCATGAAAAGTTTGGGTGTTAGAATGATGACACAGAGAATTGTGTGAAGTCTTTGTGTTGAAGCCCCAATTAAAACCTACACGGAAACCAACACTGGTTAGATCAGTGAACAAATGAGAATGAGTCTGTTATACAATAGAAAACATAACATACATAGTAACGGGTATGATCCTGTATAATCTTAGTAAGAGAGGATGTAGAGTTTCAAGGGCACATAAAGAATCAAGTTTTAGTTGACTCAGCAGTCACAGCCACTGCCATAAGAGTCTGCTTTCAGTAACTGGTGCGTTGTGTGGTGTGATGTTAGACATACTTTATGCATTGCAAGGGTTATATAGCTGGGAAACATTTATTTAAGATTTTGAGTCACTGAATGCTACAAGAGCACTAACAAAGGAATCTTTTAGTGTCAATAGGAAGCACAAGCGTGTGCTCACGACGTTGAATAGTTTCCTCAATGGACAGTCTATGCATTTTCATTGACACGCCAGCCAATGGGCTGCATGAATTGAGCTTTCCCCCCCAAATTAGTAACATTTATGTTTGTTTTCATGTTTTAGTTTAGATTTTGTATATTTTGTTAAAATGTATATGAAATGGCTTTTTATTGACTGTATTTTCCTTATTCCCGGAGTAACCATGACTGTTTTGTTTTTCGGTGACTTTTACTTTTACTTGTGTTCTGTAAATAGCAGGTTGGTCTACGCTCACATGCAAAACTATAGCTAGCCGAAATCATCTTCAAACGGTTCAGGTTGATTCGTTTCCCCACGCTTATTTTTAAGACAAAAGAAATGCACTGTCTTTGTTCCACAAATGACCAATTACATTGTGATGTCACATCCAGAGATTTCATAAGCTCCATGTAGCCATGTACGTTGATTCTCGTGGTTGTTATTTATGTAGAAACATGCTTGACATTTTGGCAGTTAAATAAAGCCTATAACTTTGAAAACAAAGGTTTTGAGTATTATTTTGTCTCTGTAATATGAGTTGAATAGACCGGAAAATGAATTCAAATCCCCAATCTGCGTTAATTTATGCATTAGTGCATCAACAAATTGATGGATTCAGTATGAAAGTGATTCATTCAAAGCGCAAATGTTATTTATCTTTCAGAATGTCATAATTTACAATTCAATAATACATCATGCTCCGTTACACAGCCAATCTTCATTTATTACAACTCGCTTTATAAAGCTCGAAGCATGCCATTCCACACAAATAATGAGCACCTTGTAACAAGAGCTCAGTTGATTTTTTTGACGCAGGATTCAGTAAAAAACTTGCGTACCAGCCAGGCGGGAACAAATACATCTGGGGCAATGACTGTCAGAAAAGCTTTAGTTTTCAGTTTATTTTACTGTCCTCCTTTCCACTCCCTCCTTCCAACACCTGACTTTCTTTATTTCTTTCTGTATTCCTTCCCTCCTCTCTGACTGATCCATTATGTTAATGGTCTTCTTTTTCAATATCGCTCATAATACCAAATGAATGCACAAGTTGCTGCATGAATGAGACCAAGGCGGCACTGCAATTATCTATTGTCGGTCATTCATCTTTCTTCCATTCTCTCCTTCTCTCATTATAGGCCGCACACCCACCATTTTTAGAGAGATTTGTGGATAATTTAGTGGTCACAGTTTAATGTGTTCGTGCCCTTCCTTTTCTAAGTCTGATCATCATCACTCATGTTCACAAATGGCCCAAAAATGCATGCTTTTTTCAAACGCATGTAAGTGTGTGACCTAACTATAAAGTTTTAATAATCATTATAATTCCACACCTCAGCAGTAATGATGACGAAACAGCACGATATCGTTGGAATCACTTTAGAGCGATTTTTCCAGCTGATGACCGCTAAAAATGTTCACAGCCAATCTGAAACCACACGACTTTAACTCTTTCCTCGCCATTGACGGAATTTTCCAACTTTACTTGTTTTCACTGTTATACCGTAGGGGGCGTTATGACACATCTTCTGAAAGAGTACTGAATCTCAAAACACAGGCAAAAAAAGGAGCCGAAACAAGCTTTAGAAGCGTTGCTTGTACATGTTGTAGTCTTTAAAAAATATTTTCTCACCTTTTTGTTTAAAATATTGCTTTTAATGAAATTACCCACATTCAAATGTTCATAAAAATAAGAATGAATGTAGCTAGAATAAAACAGTTTTCTTTTGTTGCTGTTGTTTAAAAGCAGAAGCTCTGTTCTTTCTTTTGATATATTGCATGTTCAGATATTCATACAACTAACTATTCTGGGGGCCATGACATTTTTGTGAAAATGATCAAAAACGCCCTTCTCAATAAAAGGGAATTGTGCGAGCAGGTCTCTGTGCTGTAAATCCCTTACCATATTGGCTGACCCGTTCCACTTCTGCTGCTCCTCACCTCGAGGCCAAAAGTGTCAAAGGAATGAATTTTAGTTAATAGCGGCAAAGAGTACAGGTCAAGTTAATTAAGTCAGCAAAATGAAATGCAACTAATTGCGCCCACGCTACTTGGTTAATTAAAATTGCAAAATGTACTCAACCGGGATTTGAAGCTTCAGAGATACCAACAAGCATTTTTTTTTCATTGTGTTATGTAACTGTGCTATTTATACTCATCTTTGATACTTAATTGATAATTTATTGTATTTTATTAGTTTACTGCCACACATTTAAGCACTATTTCTCTGTCAGCATCAATTGTACCGCTCTGCAATGCCTTGTTTCCAGGTGTCAGGCCTCTGTGGTCAAAGGTCCCGGGGCATTAGCCCCATTGGCCTCAGTCGTAATCCATCCTTGATGCTAGATCAGATTTCAAGAGATTTAATGATGAAGAGGTAGCAGAGGTTGATTCCTGCTCTGTATCACTTCTTTTCAGCTCTCTGGCTACATTCACACAGTCAGTGTTTGGAATGTGTTAGTGTTAGTGTCAGATGTGACCCTCAAATGATCCCATTCATACAACAGCTTGTGGGAGCAACTCAGATACTGTCTGCATGAAGGAATAACTCAAGTCAAGCACCTTTTCTGTTCTTAAGATATCTGTGAATAGTGCCTGTAACCGTAGTGACAGTAATGAAAGTAAATATCAAAAATGCTGAGTTCCATAAAGGCCCATTCCCACCAAGAACAATAACTATAAAGATAACTATGTTAGTGTCCACACCAGTGGATGATAATGTTCTGTTTATTATAAAGGCATGCTGTGGTACTGCTATATCGTCAGCAGCTTTAAATAGAGTGCTGCTGTGATGACAGATTTTTGTAGGTCAACCCGGAAGTTAGCATCACCCTGCTTCCCTCAACAAAAGGATTTTTTCATTGACATTTGGATTATTACAGAAAAAAATCTGTTGCCAACAGTGATTCCAATGACATCATTCCTCTGTGGCCTTAGCGTTGTGGTGTGAATTTCACTATTAAAACATTGTGTAGTGTGAACAGACCTTAACATCGTATAGTCACAAATACACAAACTTAAAGGTGCAGTATGTAATATTGACAGCTAGCGACTGAAGTGGGTACTGCAGTCCAAACTCAAAATACTGGAGAGAGTTGTTTCCCCCGCCTCCCCAGACTTGACACTCAAGTGGGTTGCCAGATTGAGAACAGGCAATGGGAGCAATTGATTTTTTTCGCATTTTAATATGCTCCCGAGATTTTTAGATGGATGTCAAGGCTTTTTAGGTCGGGTAGAATCTGCGATCTCTGACCCAGTTCGTTTGCTGGCTTCCATGACTGCAATACACTGTGTTTTCCACCAACTAGCAACCCAGGGTGTCAAAATAACAGAATCACACAGACCAAAACAAAAACATACATTCCGACACGGAACGCACATTTCAAAGTAAAATAGCTTTCAGAGAAACGAGTATGTGAACTTAGCACGTTTCCTAAATATCTCCAAACATATTATGGTATTTTATGCTTTAGTACAGTCAAAAAATTTACATACAGCATCTTTAAAGGGATTGTTCACCCTAAACTGAAAATTAAATCATAAATTACTCACCCTGGTGTTGTTCTAATGATATATGCCCTTCTTTCTTTTATGGACCACAAAAGGAGAAAAAAAATAAAATGTCCCACTCTCACTCGTCCATATAATGGCAGTGAATAGAGACCAGAATTAAGCTTTTTTTAAAAGATGCAAAAGTATCACAGAATGATCCCATGTGACCCATGTGTGTTATGGGGGAATGCGATATGAAATTAAGGGCCAGATTTACTAAACAGGGCAAAAAAGCACAATTCCAAAAAAGCGCAGAAAGCTGGAAAGTTCTGCGTGTGATCTACTTACGACGTGCAATTAAAAAACACAGACGCAGCCGGATCATTTCCATAATGACCAGCGCAATCTACCGAGAGCAGATCAAATTAGTGGCTACATTAAGACATACTT